AACACGTGGCAAAGTCCCCTCCACACTAACGTAGCTAACACGCAGCACAGTCCTGAAAATGCAGCACAGTCCCCTCCACGCGCGTAGCTAACACGCAGCACAGTCCCCTCCACGCGCGTAGCTAACACGCAGCACAGTCCCCTCCACGCGCGTAGCTAACACGCAGCACAGTCCCCTCCACGCGCGTAGCTAACACGCAGCACAGTCCCCTCCACGCGCGTAGCTAACACGCAGCACAGTCCCCTCCCACGCGTGTAGCTAACACGCAGCACAGTCCCCCCCCCCCCTCGCGTGTAGCTAACACGCAGCACAGTCCCGAACACGCAGCAGTCCCCTCCACGCGTGTAGCTAACACGCAGCACAGTCCCGAACACACAGCAGCCCCTCCCCTCCACACGCGTAGCTAACACGCAGCACAGTCCCGAAAACACACACAGTCCCCTCCACGCGTAGCTAACACGCAGCAGTCCTGAAAACGCAGCACAGTCCCCCCCTCCACACACATAGCTAACACGCAGCACAGTCCCCTCCACACGCGTAGTTAACACGCAGCACAGTCCCCTCCACACACGTGATAAGCACAGGTGAACGCCACACACATAGCGAACACGCAGCACAGTCCCCTACATAAACAAAAACCACGTGATCAGCACAGGTGCCCGCCACTTCCTCCACTGACAACCCCTGAAGGCCCCTCCCCCCGTGCAGGCAGTAACAGGCCGGTGGCCTAGCAGTTACCTTAGGCCAGGTGAATGCTGTCGGTGTGTTGCACAGCACAGGGGAAAGGCACAGCCAGTGTGACAGCCCGGACAGACGCACAGTACTGGGGAGCCTACTACACATTTCTTCCCTTGTCACTGCACCTCCCTGACTACAGACACGCCCCCTGTACTAGGCAGGCCTCCTGGGTGTGTACAGCCCCGCCTCCTCTCTCCCCCATGTACTGTGTATTGTGCTGATCACACAATGCCTGCCGTTATAGACACATACAGGCACTGCTCCGGGCACACTCAGCAACGGACATTACTAGAAGCCCGGAGTATTTTGTGACCAAGGGAGATGCTTCTAGATTGCTGGCAATCCCTGTGTGTTCCTAGCCTGGTACACACATGACAATGTCACACAAACGATCGTCCGAGTTCTGTTGTTGCATGCTAGTCTCATATCGATAATAAAGAGGCGACTAGAGTCATTCCTGTACGACAGAATACAACTCCCGCAGTGACGTCATGCAGCGCTTCCCAACTGGGGGGGCCTACTGGGCTTGGCGGGGGTGCCACGTTCTGTCCCTTAGTTTTGTGCAGTGCTGGAGATGGGCCGACTAAGGACTCTGATGTGAAGGATTTAAAAGAGGGGGCTGAGGAATGTGATTTAAAAGAGGGGGGCTGAGGACTCTTGTGATGGAGGGGGGCTGAGGACTCTGTTGTGATGGAGGGGGGGGGCTGAGGACTCTGATGTAAAAGGGACGGAATGAGGACTTTATTGGGAATGGGGGGTGTTGATGACGCTAATGTGAAGGGGGGGGGGACTGACATAAAAGAGAGGACTGAAGACTCTGGTGTGAAGGGGGCATGAGGACCCTTAAAAGAGGATGACTGAGGACTTTGCTGTGAAGGGAGGACTGAGGACTGATGTGTGAGGTGTGATGAAAACTGTTGTGAAGGGGGAGGGAGAACTGGGGACTCTGACATATAAGGGGAGGAATGAGGACTCTGTTGTGAAGGAGTGATGAGGACTCATATAAAAGAGGTGGATTGAGAACTTTCTTATGAAGGGAGGGGGAGACAGAGGACTCTGTTGCGAAGGGGGGAGACTGGGGACTCTGACATTAAAGAGGAGGACTCTGGTGTGAAGGGGGGCTGGGTACTCTGACATAAAAGGGGAAGACTCTGGTGTAAAGAGGGGATGAGGACTCTTATTTAAAAGAGGATGATTGCGTACTTTGTTGTGAAGGAAGGGGGGATGAGGACTCTTATTTAAAAGCGGTTGACTGAGGACTTTGTTGTGAAGGTAAGATGAGAATGCTGTTGTGAAGGGGAGGGTAGAGAGAACTGGGGGCTTTGACATAAAAGGGGAGGACTGAGGACTCTGATGTGAGGGGGGGGGGCTGGGGATCTGACATAAAAGGGGAGAACTGAGGACTCTGGTGTGATGGAGGGGGCTGAGGACTCTGATGTGATGGAGGGGAGCTGAGGACTCTGATGTGAAGGGGAGACAAGGACTGTGATTTAAAAGGGGTGGACTGAGGACTTTGTTGTGAAGGAGGGGGGCTGAGGACTCTGATGTAAAAGGGACGGAATGAGGACTTTGTTGGGAATGGGGGGTGCTGAGGATGCTAATGTGAAGGGGGGGGGGGGAACTGGGGACTCTGACATAAAAGAGAGGATTGAAGACTCTGGTGTGAAGGGGGGGTGAGGACTCTTATTTAACCACTTGCCCTCCAGAGGATTTACCCCCCTTAATGACCAGGCCTCTTTTTGCTACTTGGCGCTGCACTAATTCAACTGATAATTGCGCGGTCATGCAATGCTGCACACAAACGAAAATTTACGTCCTTTTTTTCACACAAATAGAGCTTTCTTTCGGTGGTATTTGATCACCTGTGTGCTTTTTATTTTTCACGCTATAAAAACGATATTTTTTACTTTCAGCTATAAAAAATATATAGTAAACTCAAAGTTGGTTATAAATTTAGGCCAAAATGTATTCTGCTCCATGTTTTTGGTAAAAAAAATCCCAATAAGTGTATATTGATTGCTTTGTGTGGAAGTTATAGCGTCTACAAACTATGGTATAGATACTGCAATTTATGCCATATTTATTGCTATACAGCGCTGCGCTAGTTTAACAGACAATTGCGCGGTCATGCAATACGGTACATAAATGAAATTTACATCCTTTTTTTTTTCCCCACAAATTGAGCTTACTTTTGGTGGTATTTGATCGCCTGTGCGGTTTTTATTTTTTTTGCGCTATAAAAAAAAAAAGGCTGACAATTTTGAGGAAAATTTTGCTATAAAACATGTCCAGTAAAAAAAATTTAAAAATCAAATTTAGTCATAAATTTCTGCCAAAATGCATTCTGTAACATGTCTTTGCTAAAAAAAAAACCCAATACGTGTAAATTAATTGGTTTACGTGAAAGTTATAGCGTTTACAAATGGCGGGAAAGATACTGGGATTTTTAGTTTTTTTTCATACTAATAATGGCGGCGATCAGCGACTTATGGCGGCGATCAGTGACTTATGGCGGGACTGCAGGACTGCGGCGGACATTCTGACACTGGGGGGGTACTGACTTGGGGTCACTGACATCCCCAGTGACACCAATACAGTGATCAGTGCAAAAAAACCACCGACACTGTACTAATGGCACTGGGGAGGAAGGGGTTAAGTTTATTATTCAGTGAAAGGGTTAACTGTGTGAGGGGAGTGTTTTACTAGGGGGCGGGGGGGGGGGTGTACTGCAGGGAACACCGCTGATCGGGAGAGAGAAACTCTTCTGTCCCGATCAGCGTGTCCTGGAGCTGTCAGGGAACTGACAGAAAGCACAGCTACTGCAGCTGTGCTCTCTGTCAGCGATTGCTGCCGATCGCCGGGACATACTTGGTAACGACCAGCTGTGACCCGGCGACTGACATCCGCGGCTGTGATCGGCGGGACAGGTAGGGCGGCGGCGCACCTCGCGCACGCCCCCTACCTGTTTTAAAAACACACGTTTTAAAATGTGGTTTCGCCCAGCCATGCCGCCCTGCCGCCGTATTTCTACAGTGGCTGGGCGGCATGTGGTTAAAAGAGGATGACTGAGGACTTTGCTGTGAAGGGGGGGAGAGAACTGGGGTCTCTGACGTATAAGGGGAGGAATGAGTTAGTTTAACTATCAATTGCGCGGTCATGCAATACGGTACATAAATGAAATTTACATCCTTTTTTTCACACAAATAGAGCTTTCTTTGGGGTGGTATTTGATCGCCTGTGCGCTTTTTATTTTTGGAGCTATAAACAAAAACATTTTTGAAGAAAGAAATGTTTCTCATTTCAGTCATAAAAAATATCCAAAAAAACTAAAATTTTGTCATAAATTTCGGCCAAAATGTATTCTGCTAAATGTTTTTGGTTTAAAAAATTCCCAATAAGTGTATATTGATTGCTTTGTGTGAAAGTTATAGCGTCTACAAACTATGGTATAGATAATAGAATTTACACAGCTTTTACTTTCTGACTGCCCGTCACATTTCTTGAGGTGCTAAAATACCAGGATAGTACAAACACCCCCAAATTACCCCTTTTTGGAAAGTAGACACCCTAAGCTATCTGCTGAGAGGCATATTGAGTCCATGGAAGATTTACCGTATTTTTCGCTCCATAAGATGCACTTTCCCCCCCCCCAAAAAGGGGGGAAAATGTCAGTGCGTCTTATGGAGCGAATATAAAGCGGCCGGTCCGGTATTTCTGCCGCCACCATGTCAGAATACTGGGCCGGCCGCTCAGCTGTTCTCTCCTGCAAGGCCTTACCTGTTCCTCGCTCCAGCGCTGCACAGTCTTCCCGCGCTGGCTTCTGTGACAGCCGGGTGCCCACTGCGCATGTGCTGCGCTTTGTGAATGATCCGGTGTCTTCTGGGACACATGACAGGTCCCAGAAGGCGCCGGGCCATTCACAAAGCGCAGCGCTTCTCGCGCATGCGCAGTGGGCACCCGGCTGTCACAGAAGCAGGCCCGGGAAGAAGAGAGAAGGACAACTCCGCGGAAGTGGGAGCGGGTACCTGTCAAATTCAGGTACCCGCTCCCCCCCCCCTCCCCAAAGGTCAGCAGTCTCTGGTCATTCCCTGCACTGTCTGCAGTCTCTGGTCATTCCCTGCACTGTCTGCAGTCTCTGGTCATTCCCTGCACTGTCTGCAGTCTCTGGTCATTCCCTGCACTGTCTGCAGTCTCTGGTCATTCCCTGCACTGTCTGCAGTCTCTGGTCATTCCCTGCACTGTCTGCAGTCTCTGGTCATTCCCCTGCACTGTCTGCAGTCTCTGGTCATCCCCTGCACTGTCTGCAGTCTCTGGTCATTCCCTGCACTGTCTGCAGTCTCTGGTCATCCCCTGCACTGTCTGCAGTCTCTGGTCATCCCCTCCTGCTGCACTGTCATCCCTGCAGTCTCTGGTCATTCCCTGCACTGTCTGCAGTGGTCATCTCTGCACTGTGTCCGCAGTCTCTGGTCATCTCCTGCACTGTGTCCGCAGTCTCTGGTCATCTCCTGCACTGTGTCCGCAGTCTCTGGTCATCTCCTGCACTGTGTCCGCAGTCTCTGGTCATCTCCTGCACTGTGTTCCGCAGTCTCTGGTCATCTCCTGCACTGTGTCCGCAGTCTCTGGTCATCTCCTGCACTGTGTCCGCAGTCTCTGGTCATCCCCTGTACTGTGTCTGCAGTCCATTGGTTCAGAATATTTTTTTTCTTGTTTTTCGCCTCTAAAACCTAGGTGCGTCTTATGGTCAGGTGCGTCTTATGGAGCGAAATATACGGTATTTTTTTTTTTCCACAAGTTTCTGAAAAATGACAAACATTTTTTTTGTTTTACACAAAGTTGTCATTTAAATGATTTATTTCTCGCACAAGCCATGGGTATATGTGGAATTACACCCCAAAATACATTCTGCTACTTCTACCAAGTTTGGGGATACCACATGTGTGAGACTTTTTGGGAGCCTAGCCACATACAAGAGCCTGAAATCTAATGACCACTTTGAAAGCCTGAAGGTGCGTAACTTTCTCATTTCACTTCCTCACTACCTATCACAGTTTCAAAGGCCATGACATGTCAGGATAGCCCAAACCCCCCAAATAACCCCTTTCTGGAAAGTAGACACCCCAAGGAATTTATAAAGAGGCATGGTGAGTATTTTGCAGATCTGATTTTTTCTCACAAGGTTTTGAAATGTAAAAAAAAGAATAGAAAAAATGTTTTTTTTTTTTTTTTCTTCATTTTCCAAAAACTTCTGGCAACAAATGAGATCTGCAAAATACTTACCATGCTTCTTATCAAATTCCTTGGGGTGTCTACTTTCCAAAAAGTGGTCATGGGGGGGTTGGTGCTATCCTGGCATTTCAGGGCCTCCGAAAATGTGATAGGTAGTCAGGAAGTGTAATGAGGAAATAAAGCCCTTTAAAAGCCTGAAGGTGCTTATTGGATTTTGGGGTCCTGTACTTGGCTACACTGCCAAAACGTCTCTCACATGTGGTACCCCTATACTCGGAAGAACAGAATGATTTTGGGGGGTTATTCAACATATACCCATGGCACATGTGAGCAATAAATCATTTAAGTGACAATTTTGTGTAAATAAAAAAACAATTTTGTCATTTTCCAAAAACTTGTGGTAAAAAAAATAAATACTTCTATTGATTCAACATGCCTCTCAGCAAATAGTTTGGGGTGCCTACTTTCCAAAAAGGGGTCGTTTTGGGGGGTGGGGGCATTTTATACCCAGCATTAGAAGTTTATGCCACACATCACTAACTCTTCTAACCACCTGAAGACCAAGCCTTTTCTGACACTTCTGAAAAAAAAATCTGTATTTTTGGCTAGGAAATTAATTTAAACCCCAAACATTATTATATTTTTTTTAAAGCAGACACCCTAGTGAATAAAATGGTGAGTGCTACAATTTTTTATGGCACATAGTACTTGCGCAACGATTTTTCAAAAGTAAATTTTTTTTTTAAAAAATACACTTTTTTTTACTTTTAATGCACAAAAACACAATATATTGGCCAATTATTTGGTAAAGTATAAAAGATGATGGTATGCCGAGTAAATAGATACCAAATATGACATGCTTTAAAAACTGCGCATGCCCCATGCAATGGCGACAAACTGCATACATTTTTAATATCCATAGGCAACCATTTTAGATTTACAGAGGTCTAGTGTTAGAATTACTGCCCTTGATCTGATGTTCATGGTGATACCTCACATGTATGGCGCAACCGCTGTTTACATACCGACACAGGGTCAATGGTCACAGGTGTGCGCGCATGGGAGGGGCGAGTTTTGTTTTTTTTTTTTAAGTTATTTTGATTTTTTTTTATAATTTTTACATTGTACCTTTCATTTTTTTTTATCACTTTTAATGCTGATTCCATTGTATCTCTTTACCACTTTTAATTCCATTGTATCCTGACTCTGCCTCTGCCTTACATTCCTGTACCTCGATACCTGGCTGTGAACTGACCCTGGCTTGTATCCTGACTCTGCCTCTGCCTTACATTCCTATACCTCGATACCTGGCTGTGAACTGACCCTGGCTTGTATCCTGACTGCTTACATTCCTATACCTCGCCTAGACTTTCTGCATTTACATACCTGAACCTTGCTGTCCAGCTGTTGATGACCTTTTGGCTTGTGTTCTGGCTACACCCATGTCTTCTGATCATGTGTCATTGTGTTTCGGCCGCTGATCCTTGTCTGGAGATCCACAGTCATCTCTATCCTGCAGCCAACAGCTGGCGTTGCCCACTATATTGGCCTTCTTACTACTCTGTGTCCTCACATCTCCTGTCACCACTACCAGGGGTGTTAAACAAGAGGTACAGGAACAGCCCCCACTCCAGCTCACTTTCCAACAGGTACCTGACAGCTGTTCACGTGTTCCAGTGATACCAGAAAAAGAAAATTATGGGCTTGATGAATATACTGAAGACCCCTAAATCATGGCATCATCCTGTCCTGCCTTGTTGCTAGGACATTGCTAAGACACTTAAGCCCTTAATGCTCATATTTATCATCACAGAAAAGAGCTCTCAAACCCCTCCATATGTCTGGTCCACTATCTGCTCCGTGTAGGCATGAGTGACCTCACCCCCACTCTCAGGGGTGCATCATTGTGCAGCCTGGACAGTGCAGTGCATGGCATGGCATAAAGCTCACAGTCTGTGTGCCATTCTCTGCTGCTGGTGCCAAAAGAGAAGAGATAGATTAGTCAGAAGAACCTTAGAAACAAGGTAAGTGTGCTGAAAATGCTTTGCTGACCATCCATACCACTCAGGCCTGTTGCGTGCGTTATGCTCACAGGCGTTAATCCGCATTTACGTCCATTGCGCTAAGGCAGTCTGTTCATACTACAGTTCATACTACTGCAACACAGGTATGCTAAGAAGATGCAATGAGTCGTCATTCAGAATGGCTGCCAGGCAATTTAAAAAACAATGCTAGCACTTATTTTCAATACACTTTTTTTTCCAGCAAATCATTGATACAGGAAATATTTATATCTGCAAATAAGGCTGTGACCTGGCCTGGTAATTCACCAGTCTGACCAGTACAGCCTCGACTTGTTTCCAATGTTAATATAAGGAGATTATCAGGCTATAAAAGTGGTACTAATCCTGACATATTCACGTGTGCACACATACCTATCACACACACTGTCCATTGTCATTGCTGTCTAAGCAGTCAATTTGACAATTTTTGTCATTCACAATTCACACACCCTTTCACCCAAGATGTACCCATTTTTTAAATTAAAAATGTGCGAACATTGTGTAAATCTTGGATGAAAACATTGTTAAATGCACTCAAATACAGTATATGTATACAGCCTGCATTAATGCTCACCCACCATATGGACATATATGTGCTGAAAGGAAGTGATTAAAGCAGTATTAAATCCAAAAGCAAACATTCATTAGCTTACCAATTCTTAAATATGATGGTTGCATTCATTTTCTTTTTTAGGCTTTCTTACTTTTATTCTCACCTGGTGATCTGGTATGTAAGTCTGTTGTTTTTCAACAGAACTAGTTCTCATGCAGATGTATAAGTTACAGAGATGAGACAAACCATTTACCACTAACGGGGTGCCTAAACTGATCAGCTTTTATTTATTCATGTAAAATCTGACAAAAATGTTTGCTATAACTAATTATAATGTATTAGCTGGAGTTTGGCTTCTATGTGTTAGTGTATTTAAATCTGCTAGAACATCTAACACCCCCTCCCCAGATTGACAATGCTGATTTCCAAATGTGCCCCCTGTGCTCCTTCATCCAGAGTGGAGGCACTCTAATACAGGAGGTTTGTTACTAGTCAGATCACCAGGTGAAAACAGAGGGAAAAAAGCTTAAAAAAGTAAAAGCATGCAGCTACCAGATCGGATTGGTAAACTGCAATATAATGCATGTTTGGTCTTGGGTTTAATACAGCTTTAATAATACTGCAATTATCCAATCATTTGCAGATGAAATGAAATGTGCAAACAGAAGAAATATGTAAACAGGAATTTGCTTTTCACATGGTGGGATAATTAAACTCAATATTCATACAAATTATGTGAAGATTCTCAACCTTAGTAAATCAACCTCAATAAGTGAAAATCCGAACAAATCCATTGTACTACAAGAGGACTGCTTTTTCATTTTTGTCTACAGTGCACTCTAGTGGACACAGGGAGTAACATCAAGAGTCAGTTAAAAAGTAGCAACACACAGTAAAGTGCAGTGAACTATAGTAAACCCCTTTCTATCATTTATCTGTCATCAAACGGCAGTTAACTGAAACATGGTTGATATGCTTAAAGCGAAGCTCCACCCAAAAGGGGAAGTTCTGCTTTAAGGACTGCTCCCCCGCTCCCCATTAAGGTTTGGCACCTTTGAGGGGCGGGGGGAGCGGGTACCCGAATTTGACAGGTACCCACTTCTACTTCCGCTCCGATCGCCTAGGCAATCGGAAGTGGAAGGTGTCCTCCCTTCCTCCCCCCCTTAGTCTTTTGAGACAAGTGAGAGGTCCCAGAAGACTACAGGACCATTCATGAAGCGCAGCGCTACTTGCGCATGCACAGTGGGTACCCGGCTGTGAAGCCGCAAGCTATCACAGCCGGGTGCACACGCTGAAGATGCCGGCACCCAGGGAGAAAAGACGGCCGGTAAAATGGGCTGCAAGGGACACAATGCGGGACCGTGAAATAGGTGAGTATGTGTTTTTTAAAAGTCAGCAGCTACAGTGTTTGTAGCTGCTGACTTTTATTTCTTGACAGCGTGAGTAAAACTCCACTTTAAGTACACTTTCTACATGATCTTCGCTCTTTAATGTTTGTGTGATAAGATGCAACGTTATTGTCTCGTGCATAAATTCCACTTTAAGGGCTTGTTTACATTCGCATTGCTCTATGAAAAGTGATGTTCTTTGAAAAGTGATTCATAGTGGGGGGGGGGGGGGGGGGGGGAGTTTCAGAGGGCTTTTGATAGGTGGCTGGGAAGCAATATGTCACCTTCCTACCTCCTTTTTTAACCCTGTAAAATGCACACCACAACCATGTGCATTGCACACCATTGTGGCACAGCCTCATTCACTTGTATACATTCTCATCCAGGTGCCTTTGCAGATTAAAGCTGAACTGAACCTAAAAATTAAAACTGGAAA